ACCCACCGCCATGCTTCAGCACAGTGTGAGACCTGCTTCCAGAGCTGATCGAGCTGGGTGCCCTTTAAATCGTGCTGATGATCGAAGTCTGGCCACTGTGGAGGCTGCGGGACTGGTCCGCACGGCCTCTCGATTGGGAGAGGTCTAGGCTTGGCAAGCCTCCAGCCGCCTTTTGCTCGCATCCTGGACTGCTCGACTAGACGGATTGGCGAATGAGTCGCGGCTGCAGTGTCTACAACTTCTACCGCGTCACCGAACGCATGCTGGATGCGGGCGTCGAGCACAAAGAAAACGCTGATACTGCCACCGCCGACTCCTGCACACGTGGCAGTGGAAGGGAGACGCACCACACCTCCCACATCTTGGCACCACCACGCCTTGAGCCGAGACTCCCCCATCTCGTTGAAATCTGCTTGGGGTATCCACGGTATGTCATACTGCTTGATGACCGTAGCGATGGCCTCCATTGACAAATTTTGAATCGTCCAACTTTCACGTGTCCACAAATATGCCGTGGTAATCATGAGGCCACCCTTCTGTCCATCAGAGCACCAGCCCACTGCCACGCGCCCAGCCGAGCCAGGAGGTGAGATATCAAACGTATTCATGCCTTCGAGAGTAAGACCAACATTCCTTGGCACACGAAATCCAACTCCACTAGACGGTCGTCCGCCTGGGCCGCTGACGGGTGGAACCAATGCTGCTGTATGCCTGTTGAAGCTGGCCGCCTCTATGTCCTTGGCGATGGGCGCAACCAACTTATGCACCTGAAGGAACGTGATGTGCATGGGGCCCACGATCTTCCTTGTGGCGACCTCGTCCAGCACATCGATAGCCTGCGCCCAAGAAGGGCAGTTGAAACCTATGAACTCGAGCCCCAAATTGCGAGTGCCGCCCTTGCCTCGACGCGGGGGGCTCATCTTCTGTGAACTTGACCATGTAGAGGGAGATGTACTGGATGTTGCGTCAGGAGGAGACCCTCTGCCGTGATCTGACTCCTGCGACGTGCTAGACTCCTGCCATGAGCCCGACCATGTAGAGCATTGAGTACTGGTACCTGTGGCCGTGGAGGCCGAGCTGCCGAGCCCGCGCGGGCTACAGCGGCACTGGCTTGGCCACTGCCTCCGCCCTGCGAGCCCTGGCGCGCTGCAAGGCCTCCGCCAGCTCCTTGCCAGCGGCTTCGCAACCAGCGTCAGGGCCAACATCAGCGCTGGCAGCGCCTGGCGAAGCGCCCTGGGCACCCTGCGCCTCCGCGGCGGGCTGGGCGGCCTGCTGGGCCTCCTGGGAGGACTGGGCTGGCGCCTGCGGCGGGCCTCCCTCGGGGCTCTGGGCCGCTGGCGCCTCTGCAGCCGCCGCCTCCGCAGGAGGGTCCTCGCGCATGGCCTGGGCAGGCGCCTGCGACGGGCTCCCCACGGGGGTCTGGGGCGCGGGCGCCTCTGCAGCCGCCGCCGCCGCAGGGGGGGCCTCACGCCTGCGCTTCTTGAAGGTCTCGCGGAGCACCCTGATCTCTTCAAACTGCTCACGCTGGGACTTGAGGACGTCGGCCCCTGGCCCGAAGTGCGTGCGGACCGCCTGCTGCACCGACGCCTCGAAGGTCTGCTTGAGCTTGTTGAACTGCTCCCGCTGCTCGGCCGTGATGTCCAACCCCTCGAGGTCGAAGAGGGGGCCGTCCTCGATGACGAAGCTGGCCTCGCCTTCGCCCAGCAGGGCAGAGAGATTGATGACCCCGCCGCCCTTGTTGGTCCCCTCGGGCTGGGAGTCATTGCCTGGAGCCGCCAAAGCCTTCTTCTCCTGAGCCAGCTTGACCTCCGCACCCACCAGGGCGTCAGCTGCGGCATCGGAGCGGGCCTGGCACTCGTCGAGCCAGAGCTTGGCGTCGGCCAGCTGCTTGGCTCGCTTTTCCAGCTCCCGACGTGCAGCCCTCTCCGCTGCGGCCGCCCGCTGGATGCCCTCCTCCAGGAGCGCGGGACGCTCTGCAGGTGCCGGCGGGGCAAAGGCGCTCTCGAGCTGCTGGAGCGCCTGCCGCTGGGCCTCGGAGAGGGCCTGCCCACCAAGGGTCTGCACCACCTCGTCGATCGCGAGCGGCTCAGTCCTCTGCGTGGTCTCCTCGGCTTCGTGGTACCAGTCGGTCTGACCCTTGTGGTTGTCCTGCCACCAGCCTCTGCTGCCGCTAGCCCAGACGCCACGGGGCTTTGGGGCGGGAGAGTACGATGGTCGCAGGGCCTGCCCACAGCTGTAGCACGACTGCTTGGTCTTGTAGGTCCAACGGTATCCACATTTCTTGCATCCCACGTAGTCGGCCGAGAAGGAGATCCTTGTAGCTGGGGACTTGCCGCCTCCACGCCTGCGATCCGACATGGCGGCGGGATAGACTGGGACTCTGGACGGCAGCGCGCAGCTCCCCGTACAGGTCTCGAGAGAAGATGTCGGGCTGAACAGCCCTGGCACTGCCGCGGACTAGCGGTATCCACTTGTTCCCCTGAGGAACTCATCATATTGAGCCAAAATGGCTACGGGGAGGAGGAGGAGGAGGAGGAGGAGGAGGAGCAGGAGGAGGAGGAGGAGGAGGAGGAGGAGGAGAAGGGGGAGGAGGCTGAAGAGGAGGAGGAGGAGGAGGAGGAGGAGGACGACGACGACGACGAGGAGCGATCTCTCCCTCCAGGATCCAGGGGCCGCTCGCTGCCAGCCCCCCGCCCGCCGCACGGGCGGCCTGCGCCCGCCGCGCGCGGCGGCGGCCGCGGGCGAGCCCTGCGCGGCGCCGCCCGCGCGGGCCTCGGGCGGGGAGGGGGGCACCGCGGGGGGCACCCAGAGGCCCCCATGGATGGGGTCCTCCTCCTCCCTCCTCCTCCTCCTCCTCCTCCTCCTCCTCCTCCTCCTCCTCCTCCTCCTCCTCCTCCTCCTCCTCCTCCTCCTCCTCCTCCTCCTCCTCCTCCTCCTCCTCCACCGCGGAGGATCGCGCCGCACCGCCGAATACCTCGGCGATGTCTCAGCGATGTCTCGGCGATGCACCGGCGATGCATCGTCGACGTCTCGGCGATGCCTCGGCGACGTCGGCGTGGAGCAGATCGAGCTTCCACATCGAGCCGCATCGCCGGTACATCTGCGATGTGGCGCGATCCTCCGACCCCATCTACTCGGACCCCATCTCCTGCTCCCCTCCGACGTCGGCACACACCCCACGCGCTTCGCGCCCCCATGGGGCAGAAGGGGGCTTCCCCGAAGGCCCCATGTGGCAGGGCCCACATTCTGTTCGATGCACTGCGGCACATCCCTCACACGTCGGGTGGCCCCCGAAGGAGCTCCATCGGAGGCCCCAGTGGCAGGATCCGCGCGCGGCTCCCCGCCCATCTCGGCACACTCCTCGCTTGCCTTGGCCCCCTCGGGAAGCTCCACCGAGGGCCCCGGTGGCAGGGTCCGCAGGCGGCGCCCCGCCTATTTCGGCACACGCATCACCCGTTTCGCACCCCCTCCGGGAACGCCACCGAAGACGATTTTCACAACTCCGCTACTCACGACTGCATGTAGTCCGGTTCTTCGCCGGGTGTAGACATGTGTGTTCTTCAGCACAAGACCACCCTAGAGGTCTCCAAATAGGACCCCCACATCGCCCGATCATACGTCAAGACGGCCTCTCGACAGCCCAAGAGGGCCCCAGCCAGTCCAGGACGGCCCCATTAGAGTCCCAGACTGGCCCAAGAGGGCCTCCGAGGGCACCCAAGACAGAATTGGAGTGCCGATCGACGGTCGAAGATGGACACAAGACAGCCCCACCACGGCCCCAGTAGAGGTCCTTGACCGCAAAGAGGGCCCCAAGACTGCCCAAGGAGGCCCCACGGGACCCCCGATGCTGCCTCGCAGGAGGCCAAGCCAGCCCCAGGAAGACTCGAGTGAGCTCCATGAGAGCTCCTCAAGTGGTGAAGACGAAAGGCGTCACATGCTACGGCCCCGTCCCCTTCCTCCTCGTCCATTTCCTCCGCTTCAGCGTCATCAGCATCATGATGTTCCTAATCGCGCTTGTCCCGATACTCATCTTCCTCCTCCTTCTTCTGTTCCTCCTCCCCCCTCCTCCTCCTCCTCCTCCTCCTCCTCCTCCTCCTCCTTCTCCTCACCCCCTCCTGGCCATCGTTCCCTTAATTATCCGATCTGCCCGAAGACGACCTCAAAATGATCTAATCCAAACTGAAGACGGCCGAGGTGTGACATGTGACGTCCAACTGACGGTTACTCAAACCATCAACGCACACTGTGCCTTTCACGCAACTCGACTCACATGTTCTGCTGCCTCTCGAACAATCGCCTCCAAGAGTATTGGGCTGTAAGGGGGCCGGGCTTGCCGCATGCAACTTGGTAACGACTTGGAGCTACAAGAGAAAACTGCGCGTCGGTCCATCCTTAGCGCGAACGGCGCGCGTGTCTGTCAGGAGCCCCAGAAGTGACAACGCCCAGCAAGCGAACGGCACGGTCCCCCAAACGGATAGAAACAACTACCAATAACCAAAACGAACTCCAACACATGCTTGCACCAAATGGTGCTTTCATGCTCTCGAGATTCGAGCAAGACGACCCGGAGGTTCCTGGCGGTTCCAAGCGGTTTGCGGCCATAGAGTCCCACCCCGTGGGGTCAGAATCCCTGAGCGCGAAAAATCATGATGCCTTAAAGATATAAAGAAATCGCATAAACGACCGAGCGTCGAACCAGCTGGACTGGCACCCTGGCGATCGTCCCAAGACTCGCACGAAGCGCGTGAAATGAGCTGTGATACATCAATCTGCCGATGCCGCTTCCGTTACCGTACAAGTCAACCCAAGTCAACCCATTCCCTGCTCAGACGCCTCTCCAGAAGTAGGAACCTTTTTGGGCACGAAGGACGACAAGCACAAGCTCTATCACCGAGCGTTACACTCCTTCTACCCTCCTCCCTTCTCGTCCGTCCTAATCGCCATCCTCTGTGGCCTTGTACCCATCACTCGACTGCGGCGCTGCCGAAATGGCGGCCCACTTACAGCAGCGAGTAGTCGGCGCCGCTCAGCACAGCCTTGGCCTTTCCGAGCGCGTCGATCTCGCCACTGCGCGCCTCCTTCCTTGCATCGAAGTCCGCCACCGTGCTCTGAGGCACGAAGTGGAACGTCCTCAGGTGAAGGCTGCACAGGAGGTAGGCGTGCTGGACAAAGTGCGCTGGTGGCGCGTGGCCCTAAATCAATTCAGTAAGCCAAAAGTCATTCAAGTCTTAGTAAGCCAAAAGGTATTAAGCAAGCCTAAGTAAGCCACAATGAATTAAGTAAGACCTCAGGTCCCCATCGAGCCCTCTGCGCTTGGCATTGTATTGCTCTCCGAGGGGGCCAGCCCCGAGTTCTGGTCGCTCATGGGGCTGCCCGCAGACCCTTCGAGAAGCGTGTCGAGGCATTCTCCCTTGGGCTGGAGGACCCTGACGCGTGCACAGCGAGGGCCTCCAAGAGGCTCCCAGAACGGTCGAAGCGGGCCCCGAGACGGCCCAAGAGCGACAGAGAGGCCCGTAAGGCGCCCCAAGAGGGCTCCAGGAGGCCCCCAAAGAGGGCCCAGGCAACACGATTGATTTCCTGTAGGTTCTGTCAGACTTTAACTTTCTCGCCATGTCGGGCGTCCGGCGTTCCAAGACAGCCCACGATGCTCCCAAGATCGCTCCAAGACGGCCCCAGATGTCCCAAGAAGCCTTCAAGACAGCCCAAGAGGGCCCCCAATACGACCCCAGAAGCCACCAAGACGGACAAGAAGGCCCCAAGAGGAGAACTCGAACTGACATTTCGAGTCCGCCGCCACTAAGAAGCCCCCAAGAAGTCCAAGACAGCGCGCAAGAGGCCCCAAGACACCCCCAAACCGCCTCCAAGAGGCTTCCGTTATGGCTCCCAAGAGATCTCCACAGGCATCCAAGAGCCGACTGACCTACATTCCAGGCGCGGTGGCGGGATGGGCCGAATACCACTAGATCCACCGCCCCCTGTCGATTCATCGCAGGGGTGCCTGGCGTGCTGGACCCTCTCGGTGTTGGTTTTGTTTCCGAAAGAACTCCCCCTGGGGCTTCGGCCCGTCCCGCTGGCCATCCGGAAAACCCATCTGTCAATGCTTCTGTTGCGCCAAGATGGTCCAAGATGGCCTCCAAGACGGCCAAGATGGCCCAGGATGGCCTCCAAGATGCCTCCAAGACAGCTAAGATGGCTCCAAGATGCACTCAAGACGGCCCAAGATGGCCTCACGATGGTCTACGACGGCCCAAGAGGCCCGCAAGAGGCCTCCAAGACAGCCCAAGAGCCCTCCGAGACATCCTCCAGGAAGGCCCGAAAGGACCAAAACCATTGATTGCCCTTAGGTTTTTGAAGGAGTTTGACATTTGCTCCTTTTCGGCTTTCCAACGGCCCAAGAGGCCCCCAAGATCGCCCAAGAGGCCCCCAAGAAGGCCCCATGACGGCCCAAGTGGCCTCCAAGACGGCCCCAAGTGGGCCCCAAGACGGCCCAAGAGACCTCCAACACGCCCAAGATGGCCTCCAAGACGGCCCCGAAGCGCCCCAAGAGGGCACCATGTCGGCCCAGAAAGGCCCCCAAGACGGCCCCAGACGGCGTCAGACGGACCAGGAACCCACCAAGATGGCCGAAGTTGGCTCGAAGCTGGCCCAAGACGGCCCAAGAGGCCCCCAAGAGGGCCTCCAGGAAGGCCAGAAGACGCCCAAACCATGGATGTTCCTAAGGTGTTTGACGGATGTTGACATTGGCTTCTTTTTGGCCTTCCGACGGCCCGAGACGGTCCAAGAGCCCCCAAAGATCCCCGAAAGATCGCCCAAGAGGCCTCCAAGATGGCCCCAGAGGGCCCCAAGACGGCCCCAAGAGGCCCCCAAGACGGCACAGGAGGCATTTAAGACACCCAAGATGGCCTGCAAGACGGCCCTGGAGCATTCCAAGAGGGCCCCAAGTCGGCCCATAGAGGTCCCCCAAACGGCTTCCGACGGCGTCAGACGGAACAGGAGCCCACCAAGGCGGCCGAACATGGCCCTAAGATGGTCCAAGACGGCCCAAGAGGCCTCCAAGAGGGCCCCCAGGAAGGCACGAAAATTATAAAATCATGGATTTCCCATGGGTTTTTTGAAGGACTGTGGCATTTTTTTTGTTCTGCCTTCCGACGGCCCGAGACGGCCCAGGTGCCCCCACAGATCGCCCAAGAGGCCTAAGACACGGCCCCAAGAGGCCCCCAAGACGGCCCAAGAGGTCTCCAAGACGCTGAAGGTGGCCTCCAAGACGGCCCAACAGCCCTCCAAGACGTCCTCCAAGAAGGCCCGAAAGGGTCAAAATGGCTTCCACACGGCCAAGATGACCTTTAAGATGCCCACGTGTTCCCCGAAGACTTTCCAAACCGATTCGGGGAACACATGGTCCGATAGCTTGGCAGGTCTGGCCTCAACGTTCGGCCACATAGGCGCTTCCAAAAAGGCCGGGGGCGGCGGTGATTCGCCGTAGGCGTCTTCGATCCGCCGCCCCCTTTTGATGTATCAAAAGGGGTGCCTGGCGTGCCATATTATATGGCTCGTGGTGTTGGTTCTTTGTCCAGAAGAACTCCCCTGGGGCTTCGGCCCGTCCCGCCGGGGTCCTGGGAGATTCCCGAAAATCCATCCGTCAATGCCTCTGTTGCCCCAAGCTGGCCCAAGATGGCCTCCAAGGGCCAAGATTGCCCAGGATGGCCTCCAAGATGCCTCCGAGACAACCAAGATGGCCTCAAAGACGGCTAAGATGGCTCCAAGATGCACCCAAGACGGCCCAAGATGGCCTCAAGATGGTCTACGACGGCCCAAGAGGCCCGCAAGAGGCCTCCAAGATGGCCCAAGAGGCCTCCAAGAGGTCCGCCAGGAAGGCCCGAGGCCCACATCATTGATCGTCCTAAAGTTTTTGAAGGGTGTGGGCATTTGCGCCCTTTCGGCTTTCCGACGGCCAAAGACGGCCCAAGAGGCTCCCACGATCGCCCCAAGATCGCCCAAGAGGCCCCCAAGAGGGCCCAAGTGGCCTCCAAGACGGCCCCAAGAGGGCCCAAGACGACCCAAGAGACCTCCAACACGCCCAAGATGGCCTCCAAGACGGCCCCGAAGTGCCCCAAGAGGGCCCCAAGTCGGGCCAGAAAGGCCCCCAAGACGGCCCCAGTTCCTACGGTGTTTGACGGATGTTGGCATGTGCTTCTTTTCGGCCTTCCGACGGCCCGAGACGGCCCAAGTGCCCCCAAAGATCGCCCGAGAGGCCCACGACGGCCCCAAGAGGCCCCCAAGACGGCACAGGAGGCATTTAAGATGCCCAAGATGGCCTGCAAGACGGCCCTGGAGCATTCCAAGAGGGCCCCAAGTCGGCCCATAAAGGCCCCCCAAACGGCTTCCGACGGCGTCAGACGGAACAGGAGCCCACCAAGGCGGCCGAACATGGCCCTAAGATGGCCCAAGACGGCCCAAGAGGCCTCCAAGAGGGCCCCCAGGAAGGCCCGAAAATGATAAAACCATGGATTTCCCATGGGTGTGGTTGAAGGATTGTGGCATTTTCTTTTTTCCTGCCTTCCGACGGCCCGAGACGGCCCAAGTGCCCCCAAAGATCGCCCTAGAGACCCAAGACACAGCCCCAAGAGACCCCCAAGACGGCCCAAGAGGTCTCCAAGACGCTCAAGATGGCCTCCAAGACGGCCCAAGAGCCCTCCAAGACGTCCTCCAAGAAGTCCCGAAAGGGTGAAAATGGCCTCCACACGGCCAAGATGACCTTTAAGATGCCCACGTGTTCCCCGAAGGCTTTCCAAACCGATTCGGGGAACACATGGTCCGATAGCTCGGCCACATAGGCGTTTCTAAAAAGGCAGGGGACGGCGGTGATTCGCCGTAGGCGGCTTCGGTCCGCCGCCCCCTGTGGCTTGCTACAGGGGTGCAAGGCATGCACGACTTTCGGTAGTTGTGGGGTCTTTTGTAAACATTCCACGGGCATTCGGACCAACCCGCCGGCCACCCGGAAGGTCGCACAAACCTCCGGATCTGTTGGTTATTCCGCCATCAGCACCTGCTCACACGGCCCCAAGATGGTCTCCAAGACGGCCAAGATGGTCCCCAAGACGGCTACCATGGCCGCAAGAGAGCCCAAGATGGCCCCAAGATGTCTTCAAGACGGGCCGAGATGCTCCCAAGATGGCCTCAAGATCGCCCAAGAAGCGTCCAAGACGGCCCAATAGGTCCCCAAGACGACCTCCAGGAAGCCTCAAAGAGGCCAACATCATGGATTGCCAACCGTTTTTTGCAGGATTCTGGGGTTTGCTCATTTCTGACTTTCCGACGGCCCAAGACGGCCCAAGAGCGCCAAAAAAACCTCCACGATGGCTCCCTGGTAGCCCGAGAAGCCCCCAAAACAGCCTCAAGAGCTCCAAGACGTCCCAGGAGACCTCCAGGACGCCCAAGATGGTCTCGAAAATGGCCCTAAAGCGCCCCAAGAGGCCCCTAGCCCTAGTCGGCCTAAGGAGGCCCCCAAGACAGCTACCGACGGCATCAAACGGGCCAGGAGCGCCCTCAGACGACCAAAGAACCCCCGAAGGAGCCTCCAAAGGCCCCCAAGACTCCAAGAGGCCCAAGGAAGGCCGAGGAAGCTGGAGCGGCGGCGGTTCGCCGCAGGCGTCTGAGATCCGCAGCCCCATGTTGGCTTGCCACAAGTCGGCGACTCCAAAAGTTGTGGTTTGCAAAGGGTGTGATTTGCAACTGGCACCCTGGGGAACATCCTGGGGGGCACCCTGAGGGGCGCGCGGGGACCTCAACAGAGCTCTCCCGCGCCCCGAGGAGGCCCGACGAGGACTGTGTCGTGCCCCCCAGGCCCCAACGGTGCCGATCGCAAATCACACCCCAGCGTAAGCAGACCCTTCGTAGTCGCCGAACAGGGGTGCCACGCGTGCCAGAACTGAGGCAACGTCTGGTCTTTACGAAGGCTCCCAATAGGGTATCTGTCGATCGCGCAGTCCTGCGGAAAAGAATTCCCATCTGCTTTCCGCGCCATGAGGGCCCATAAAAGTCCCAGGTCGTCGGTCTGCCTGCTCTAGACGCTCCCAAGATGGCCTCCAAGGCGGCCAAGATGGTCAACCAGACGGCTACGAGGGCCCCAAGAGAGCCCAAGACAACCCCAGGATGTCTCCAAGATGGGCCCGGATGCCCCCAAGACGGCCCAATATAGTCCCGAGGTCGTCCAAGACAGCCTAAGAAGTCTCCAAGACGGCCCAAACGGCCTGCGAGAGGATCTCCAGGACGAGGGCCCCAAGACGGCCAGGAGACCTCCAAGACGCCAAAGATGCTCTCGAAAACGGCCATGAAGCGCCCCAAGAGGGCTAAACGACCCAGACCGGCCCCCAAGACGGCATCCGACGGCATTAGACGCGCCAGGAACGCCCTCGGACGGCCAAGGAGCCTCCCAAGAAGCCTCCAAAGGCCCCCAAGAGGCCCAAGGACGCCTCGACGAGGCCTCAACAGGAAGCTTCTGGGAGGCTCCAGGAGTGCCCCAAGAGAGCTCTTCCTCCTTCTCCTCCTTGTTCCCCCCCCCTCATCCTCTCCTCCTTCCTCCCTCACGTGTTCCCCGAATAATTTCCACAACGGCTGGAGAGCCCAGAATGAGAATCGATAAATCGGATCGGCTTAATATGCCTCCAATAAGAAATCGGAACCCAAATCGGAATCTGAAGTCGGACCGAATCGGAATCGAACGCCATCGACGTCGAATCGAATCGGATCGGATGAATCGAAGCGAGCCCTGCAACGGCTGGGGGAAACACGTAGTCCGATAGGTTGGCCGAGGGAGTGCTGGCTGCAAAACGTTCGGCCACGCAGGCTCTCCCCAAAAGGCCGGGAGCGGCGGTGAAATTCGCCGCAGGCGTCTTCGATACTGGGTGAGCCAATCGCATTCGGCATGGAGTTGGGAGAGGTACTTGTCCGTTGCCATGAGCGCCTTGGCGGTGCTGGCGCTGTCGTCCTTGGCCGCCTGCAGGTCGCTCTCCAAGTCTGCCTTCTCGGCGGCCTTGGACGTCAGCGTCTTGGAGTCGGTCGTGCGCTTGTCCTTCGCGCCCGCGATCGTCCTGTCATAGTCCTCCTGCGAGTCCTTCTCCTCTGTCTCGGCCTCGGTCATCTCCTTGCGGCGGCGAGCCCGGGGGGAAGTGAGAAAGAGAAGGCTTTCTTGGAGGGCTCAGCAGTCCCCCGGCCTTCTGAGAGATTCTCTAACTTGAGCAGGGACCGACCGCCCCAGCATTCCTAACACGAAATGCTGTTAGAACCCAACAATGTTCTAATACGATAAACAAGTGATTGGAACATGAGCCCGATGTGTTAAATAACAACCGTCTTGACCAGAAAGTGTCTTAGAACTTTTTTTCGTGGGACTATAGGCGAGCCAGGACGCTTCGCCACTGCTTGACTAACGCCTTCCCCGAAGACGCAGGAAACCTCCCCGAAGCCCTGCCGCCTTCTGAGAAGGCCATCTCCTTCTCACTCCCCCCTCTCGCTCTCCGCCGATCCTTGTCAAGATCGCCGATCAGCAGGTCCATCATGGCGATGACCCCAGCACTCTCCTCGGACTTCTTCGCGTACGCGCTCCAGGTCTCCGGCGGCGGTGCGCCAGCGCTCGTGCGCCGCGCGCGCTCGGACACCTGCACCAGCGCCGCCGAGCTGCCCATGTCGCGCTCGATGGCGCCCTGGGCGGAGAGCTCGACCTTGGCCGGCGGGTTGTACAGCTTAGGATCCGCCGCCCGGGCCTCGTGCAGCGGTCGGCGTGCGTCGGGCCCCTGGCGTCTCTCGGCGCGTTTCCCGCCCCAGGTCCCCCCCTCACCAGTCCTGGGGAAAGCATCCACGACGCTTCGAGCCACAGAGGTGCGCCCACCTGCTGACCCAGGCCCCCGACGTCATGATTTGTTCATTGCGTCGACACCCGGAGGTCTGCACCCATTCCCAGGGACCAGGTCTTTCATCCCGTGTCGTTTCGTGGACAGTCCCGAGGCCCAGCAGGGGCCCCCAACGGCCGAAACTAGCGAAAAACCTCCCGTCGTGATGATTTCTTCACGACTCGAGGGGGTCCAGGGAGGGGGGAGGGCGGGGAGGGGGAGGAGGAGGAGGAGGAGGAGGAGGAAGAGGAGGAGGAGGAGGAGGAGGAGGAGAGGAGGAGGAGGCGGAGGAAGAGGAGGAGAGGGGAGGGGGAGGAGGAGGAGGAGGAGGAGGAGGAGGAGGCCCTGTGTCTGCGCGCTTCTTTTTTATAATTTTGTTATTCCCTCGGCACGGGCACAGCTGCCCGGGAGCCCCGCGGATCCTCCCCCCCAGAGCCTGCTTCCCCCGGCGCTCCTCCTCCCCGCGGCGCGGCGGCGGATGCACGCGCGGCAGCGCACCGCAATTGTAGAACTGGTTGAGCCTGTTCCTGTCGGGTCGGGCGAAAGGGGGGGATAGCAAAGGGGGGGTTTTAGAATCAGCTCACGTAGCTGATTTCCCCGGCGCCTCCCGGCGCCGGAGGCGGCTATGTATCGAGGACTGGGCCCCTCGGTGGGGCCGAAACCAGCTGCATGCAGCAGATTTCGCAACCCCCCCTTTCCCAATCCCCCCCTTTCGTCCGGCCCGATCCTGGCGAACAGGAGCAGTTCCTTCGCGGCGCCGTCTGCGGCCATCAGCGCCTTGTACTCCTCGTGCTCGCCCTTCCGCAGCGCCGTCGCCTCCGCGACGCTCTTGTCGAGGGCCGCGATGCCGGTCTCCAGCGCCGAGATGTCCTCCGCGGCGCTGCTGATGCTCTCCTTCGTGCTCGCGATGGCGGTCGCGAGGTCCGACGCTTCGCGTGTCAGCGACTTCTTCTTGTCCTCTGTGGAATCAAGCTGCGAGCCACAGTACTCCTTCTTCTCCGCGTCATCGGCCTGCTCTTTCTTGAGCAGAATGACCATATCGTCGATCATCTTGATCACAACCTCGAACCCGACCTTCTTTCCTCGGAGTGCCAGCACCAGGAAGCCGAGGCGGGCGTGGTCCGCCTCGCTCTTCAGCTGCGCTTGCTGGACCAGGGCCACGGCGCGCGCGCGCTGGCTGGTGGTCGTGACCGCGACCTGCATCAAGCTCGCACTGGGCGCCGGGAGTGTCTTCTCCACTGGGGCCCCATGGTGGGGGCTACCAGGCTGTGTGGACTGAACCCACCCTTTCGGAGCGGTCTGGGCTGGCCAATGCGCAACTTGGGGCCATCGTGGGTCCTCTTGAGGCCCTATTCGGCAGACATCGGTTCGCCGTGAGGCCATGTTGGGCCCGTTGTTGATATTTTTGCGATCCTCTGGGACCACGCTGCACCTTGTGAGGCTCTTTTGTGATGTCTTGGGGGCCGCTTTGGGTGGCCCCTGGGTATGTCTTGAGCACCATCGGGAACCCGAGATCCCCTCCCTGACGGCTCAGCCAAGACTCTGCATGAGGAGGCGGAGGCACCCCCAAAAATGTGAATCACTCGGTGTCCTCCGTCTGGGGTCCCCCTTAACTCACAAACTCTGTCGGTGCCCGCCTGAGGCCCTCTGGGATTATCTTTTGAGATGGCGGGCGCCGTGGGACTGTCTGAAATGCGCGGAGCGCCCTTGGGAGGCACTGCGGCTATCTCATGGCCCTACTCGATGCCCCTTGCGGTTTTTTAGCCCGTCCTGGAAATCACGGGGCCTCCCAGGACGGATATTGGAGAAGTCCAGGGAGGCGGGAGTAAAAATGCACAATAGGAGCCCTGAGGGTATGCTGGGGAACCTGTCTGGGGGCCAAGCTTCGCATGTACTAGATTCACTGCTTGGGGCCCTCGAGGCTCCGAAACCATTTACAAACTAATCAAACTGGCGCCATGGAAGCACTAAGCATGCGCAACACACGCAGGCACACACAGGCACACACACACACACTAGGCGCCCATGCAGTTGAAAACTGATCAAGCTATGATGCGCAATGCACTCCAGGCCACAAAGGAAATATATGCTTTAATATGTGAGCCAGCGTGTATCCAAACATTGTGAAATCTATGCGGTGTAAACGTTGTGGTTTAAGATACTAGAACCACGCGCGCGCTTCGCGCGCGCTTAGGTTCTGTCGAGTCACAGACCCAGGAATCGTTGTGAGAAGAAATTGGGGACGCGAGGTCGAAGCCAATCTGGCGCCAATCTGGCGGCCCCTATCGGGCAAAAATTGGCAATCTGGCGGGGGAGCCAGCGAGGTAACAGACTGGCGAGCAAGTAGAAATCTCCAACCTGGCCACGCCAGAGTGGCCCTGCTCGTGGGGGCTTCTTGGAGCTCTCTTGGCGCCTCCTGGAGCCTCTTGGGGCCGGAAGCTCGGAATTCTACAGTGGCTTTCTCCCTCTGAGACCCCTCTCGGGCACGCCTTGGGGCTCTCTTAGGCCATTTTGGAATCCAATTTTGCCGTCCTGGGCGCCTCGTGAACCGTCTTGGAACTCTCTTGGGGGCCACCTAGGCCGTCGTGGGAGCCTCTTCGGACGTGTTGGACGCGGTGAAAACCCAACAGGCGACCATGCGAAAAGTATACGTTTGCCCATCGGAATGAGACCATTTTTGCTTCTTGGACCTCTCTTGGGGTGCCTCTCGGAACGTCTTGGGCTGATTTTGGAAGCCTTTTGGCGCCTCTGGGCGGCGTTTTGGCGCCTTGGGCCGGAAGCTCGGAATTCGAGAGTGGCTTTCTCCTTCTGGGACCCCTCTCGAACTCGTCTTGGGGTTCTCTTGGGCCGTCTTGGGGCCGTCCTGGGCCACTCGTGCGCAGCCTTGGAGCGCTCCCGGACGCGGTGAAAGCCCAAGATGCGAACATGCGAAAAATATACGTTTTCCCATAGGAATGGCACGATTTGTGTTTCTTGGACCTCTCTTGGGGTGCCTCTCGGAACGTCTTGGGCTGCTTTTGGGAGCCTTTTGGCGCCTCTTGGCGGCATTTTGGCGCCTCCTGGAGCCTCTTGGGCCGGAAGCTCGGAATTCGAGGTTGGCTTTCTCCGTCTGGGACCCCTCTCGAACTCGTCTTGGGGCTCTCTTGGGCCGTCTTGGGGCCGTCCTGGGCCACTCGTGCGCAGCCTTGGAGCGCTCCCGGAGGCCTCGTAGACCGTCTTGGGCGCCTCTTGGGCCGTCTTGGACGCGGCGAAAGCCCAAGAGGCGAACATGCGAAAAATATACGTTTTCCCATAGGAATGGCACGATTTTTGCTTCTTGGGCCTCTCTTGGGCTGCCTCTCGGAGCGTCTTGGAGGCTTCTGGGACCTTCTTGGTGTCATGACAGGCGTCTTGGAAGGCATCTGGAGCCATCGGAGCGCGTTCCGAAGCCGCCTGCGAACGATCTTGGACGGCGTCCGGCGGTCCGACGAGGTTCCGGGCCCCCCGGGGTCCACATTTGTGGTCGGGGTCCCGGCCCCGGGCCCCCGGACCCGGTGCGCCGTTATATGTATACGTGAGCGGAGTGAATAATGGAACTGGAGCCTGTGCGATGTGAGCTAGAAGGTGCAAGCTACGCATCGCGAGACATGTGGTATGAGCTGGAGCTCGAAGCCACGCGGTGCAACCTATGTGTGAGTAAGCTATGCCTTGCACGCGTAACCTAGTTGGTCTAAGCCACGTGGTCCAAACCAACGGGTGGCGCCCACGAGCACACACGGGGCGACGAGAGCGGCAACGTGGCGCGACCGCGGCGCACCCACCCCACGCACGGGGCGCGCCCGCGCGCCCGCGAGGCGGCGTGAGCGACAGCGCGGCGCAGCCTCGGCCGACACACCCGGCGCACGACGGCGCACGCGAGCGCACGCTAGGCGGGATTGGCGGCAACGTGGCGCAGCCTCGGCGAACCCACCCAGCCAGGGCTGGACCTAAACGCTGTTCTTCGTTTTATGCTCGCTTTGTGTTTCGCTTTGCTCCACCTGTGTTCCCGCACCTCCCTGCCAAAACGAAACACAAAACGCGGCAGAAGTCCAGCAAAACAGCGTTGAGACCCAGCCCTGGCTTCACAAGCGCTCCCACGCACTGAGCCAGGAGATTGTTGAGTTCAGACCGTCACCCCCCCACAAGCACGATGCCGGCAAACTTGCCGCCTCGCAGGGCCGACTCGCGCGGCTCAGCTCCTCGAGGAGGGCGCGGAGGCGGCCGAGTGCGTCGA